AGCAATGTAAAGCGTTTCCTTAAATTCCTACCTGTTGTGTTGTGCTGTCGTAAGCAGGGTTACCTAAGTCAAGTTACAGGGAACTTAGCAAAAGCAGTATTTTTACACATGGTGACGTTATTTCCGGCCGCCGTTCAACCCTCCCCGTCCTTTCAAACAAGTTTATACGGCAAGTTGTCATACCCTATTTCCCTGCTCTTTACTTTTTTGAAATGGGAAAAAAGTGAAATAATAAACATTAATGTTATATGAAAAATTACATAAATTATTATCTGAAGAAATGACTCAACAATTTTCAATTTACAAGACATGTTTTGGAAACTTATTCCATCTTCAGTTGTAGAAGTTCGTTACAATTTCAATATATTCAGTTGTAGAAGTAGTTACAATAGGCCATTCACAGTTCAGGGCTTTGTGTCCAAGCCTTTGAGTGAACGTGAGGCTGAGGTTGGCATTGTCTTGATAGAAACATCCTCTCTTTTCTAAAGTAAATTTTGCTTAAAAACACTAGTTAGCATATTAAACCACACGATTAACATATCGCGACGCCACCACTGGTTACCGTGTGAAATGTGAAACCAGTGGTGGCGTCGCAAAATGTCGGCTGTTTTCTCAGGCTAGCCATTTTCAAGGTATTCTGCAATAGTCAACGGCAAAATTGTAAAGTATAATGTTTTGTGAGTTGAGGAAGCTTGGCAGGCGATAGTCGTTACAAATTAGTGAAAAACAGCACCCAAGTGAACACGTGATTTACTGTATTCTGAACAAGTCCAAACAGCCAACTTCTTTAACTTATCATTCCTTGTAACACTTAAAAACGTCGTTCTTTTATACATTATGGGTTTATTTACAGTATCAGTTGTTAAAACAATATTTTTGTAAGCACGCCTTTCGCGTAATTAAATTCTGTTGATAAATGCACTATTCTGGGTGGTGAATTCCATGCCTTGTTTTCCTAGTTCCATGATTCCATATTTCCGCTAGGAATCCTATTTCGGTCAAAACACGAAGTAACCTTTTTGTTATAGAGAGAGTTCCAAGGAACTGTTATCTGAATTTGAAGCAATCGAATCCTTATTTACGTTTCCAAAAACGAACGTCTTTTTGTTTCTTCTCTGATCCTCAAGCAAACTAGCTATCAACGGATGTTTTACTGGCTAATTATCGAGAAACGTTAGACGTGACCACGGATTTGCGCCTGTTGCAGTGTGCGACCCGTTTTGGAATCTGCAAGGAATTCTACAGTCTTAGCCGGATTCTGATGAAATCAAGATTCCTTCGGATCAGAATATGGCTCAGTTTGTAGGTAGGCCGTTCTTTTCACAAAATTTTCTTGAGATTGTTTCATTACTTCACACAGTATTAATGGACGACAAATCGCTCAATGTTGACATGTTCGTTAATTCAAACGGTCATAACTTTTGAAATACTGAAATCGTACACGGGTTCTTGTAAATTCTTGTCAATTAAGGATCAATGTTTTCGGCTCTATAGTCTAGAATAATCAACTCTGTCCCAAAAAGTAGAAATATGCTTCTAAACTAAGGCCATTTTTGGCTGTCTGTTCGATGGCATTTTATAGGGGTCATATTTTGGATCATTTCATCTTCCTGGGTACGTTTACGGAAAAATACTTGATATCTAGAAAAACTGAAGACATTTATCAGTAAATGGGTGTCCAATTCATTTCGAGATGTTTCGAATAAAAAATTTTACAGCGCTCCAAAAAATGCAAAATTTTCAATTTTTGGGCCCTACAATATAGCCATGGCGAGCAGAAAAAATTCGTGCTTCTTAGCGCGGCCAGAAAATAACTTTGAATCAAAGCAAACCTATTTTAGTTATAGTCCCAATAAAGGCTTTCATGCACCAGAGTTTCAGGCAAAATTATTTTTCACGCGAAATTGAGTGGGCGGTTTTTACTGAGACTGCCTCTTAAAAACCGGAACATTTTACCAATAAGAAATGTATCAAAGGGGTAACAAAAAGATAGAGGGTAAGGTGATGGACCTTGTGGAGGATCTATCCCAGTGGGGGACTAGTGGCGGTGCGAGGGAGGCGGTGGCGGATGGAGGAGGAAGTTGAAAAGAAAAGTGTTAACTTTCCCCGTATCCAGATCCAGATCCATTTCATATCATCATCATCATCACCATCATCATCACCATCATCATCATCATCAGGTCGAGCTATCTCGGGCATCCATGAGTCTATCATTCCATCCACCACGGTCCTGCAACAAAGCAGGGAGGTCGTTTGGAAGGCATTCCGTGTCTCTACAGAGTTGATCGATGCAGGTGATTGCAGGGTGACCAACCCGCCTTTTACCACGTTTACGTGACAAGAGTGTCATTGCGTATCAAGGCTGAGCTAGTACCTTGTCAGTATTCAAATAAGGCCAAAATGGTGAGCAAAAGTACTAATAGGCGACACCCTTCCATCATCAATACAATCTTGGTGACACTGGAAATGCACCAATACCTGGGAGAATATCTTTGAGTCCTAGAAATGCTCCCCTTATCAGAAAGCAAAGGAAAAATTGAATTAGAGGGCAAATTGAAAGTTTTAATGACAAGGTTAAGGACAGTTGCCGACGCCCTTTTTCGAGTTAAACCTGCAATGCCCCTTTTGGTGCTCCTATCTTATTAAACAAAAAATTTGTTGGAAGGAAATCTGATCTGACGTATTAAAGTTGACTGGGTTGCAAACGTTCAGATTATATCCCAAAAAAAAGGAGAAGAGAAATATGTACTTATTGTTAAGTTTGAATTTTTTAGAATTGTTGAAGACAATCTTGACCTTTCAACTACTGCTCGTGTTCAAACCCTGGAGCAAACAAATCAGTCAATACACTGGTTCCACGAGTATGCAGTTAAGGACCGTGTGACTGCCCTCAGGAGATAGCAAGCCTCAAAAAAGCGTGGATGAATTATGTATGGAGGAGATTCTACCAACAGCAACGGTGCAAGACGAAACCCTTATGGACCTTGTATACATTATACCGTGAATTGTATGTCGATACCTTCCTGCCTATTCCATTTTTCAGAAGTCCATCGTGCACCATATACCACATACATTCTCGCAAGAGATGACACAGAGGTTAGAAAAGGTACACTGTACAGAATTTCCTGCTAAAATTTTATTTCTTTAAAACATGTCTTTATGCAAACAACAAGAAGGGGAGGGAGATGGAAGAAAATAAATAAAAGCCACTAGAAAAGGACTTCAAGGTTGATAAAGCATGACACACACTTCACTGAAAACTGGGTCTAAAGACTCCCATATGAAAAGGCAGGTATGCTCGTTATCTTGTTCAGGGGGTATTGTAGATTCAGGTAATATCATCTAAGTTATTTAGGATATACCGAGGCATGCAGGTTTCAGTTTGTGAAAGAGAAAGTATAGAAAGCTCACCAGAAAGAGATACAATAAGGAATAAAAATGACATCTTTATCACTATAAATTCAAATTATTTGCCCTTATTTGGCTGTTTGGAATAATATCTCTACAACAGAGCTTTGTACATGGGTTTCAGTGATTCTACATCCCTGCATCCATACTGCTTTCACATGGGAATCATTGCCAATGACAGGGGCCTTGCACACATCCCAATATATTGTCCAGTTTCTTCTGAAATACTTGATTGACTTAGGTTTAGAATTTTTAAATTCTAACAAGTCTGTTGAAATGTCACAAATCCTTGACAATGTGCAGAGATTATAAGTTCCAATGACCAACGTTGACAGTGAACAGAAGATTCTTGAAAAAGTCCTATTCGACGGTGACCAGCTTGATGACCAGCTTACAGAGGAACGCTCCAGGAATGCTCAGTCGGCCAATGCAGTGGCAGACACAGAAATTGATCGTCTTAAAGGACTAGAGCCAACATTTAGTGACTGGTAATTGAAAAAGAATCTTTACCAGGTTGTTCTTCAAACTCTGTTTGCCTGAAATGATGACAAAGAATTGTAAATTGTAAATATCTTATGATCTACTCCCCACAGGGCTTTTCAGGGATAATTTACAACACTGGTTGGGGGACTTTGCCAGACTGCTTAGGGTGCAGTTTACAAGTACTGAAGGAATGAGTGATGATGCCCCCACACCGGGCACTACGTGCCCTACTCTTTACGAAGAGTGTGTGGGTTCTTTAACGTCCCACAGATTTATTACATGTGCAAGGGCTTGTGAGACGGGGCCTACGGTTTATCGTCCTTATCCGAGAAGACTAGAAAGTCTAACCATTTGCAGATGTTATTACAAAGGCAGCACTTTCTCCTCAGTTATTTAAAGACCCTGAGTGTTGGTCCGGCCGGGGTTTGAACCTACAGACTCCCGCTCAGCAGACCGGCACTCTCCCAACTGAGCTAACCGGGCGGCGGAAACATTAGAAATCAATATACATGTACTTATGTTGGACACACTTTTTGCAAATAGTACCTCTTCGTTAATGTGTGTGTTGATAGCCTATGTAACATTTGCCTCCTTCCCAGACAGATGTGCAAAGGGTAGCATGTTGATAGCATACAAATTCTCCAGACTGATCTCTAGACATTTCCTTACACAATCAACTTCAAGGGGCAACGTCTACAGAGAGTGTTGTTTACATGGTTTTGTAGTTCAAGGAGATGCAAATGAGTATGACATGACTGTTTGCAACCACGTACATAAGTCCTAAATTTTATTTATCATCTTAAATATTATAACGAATTCATAGGAATTAATTCTCTACATCTCTCTATTGTAACAATAGGTCAGTTTCAAACTGTTTGTGAAGGAGTCATCTACGGCTGAAACTGGAACGAGTTATGCTTCAGTGAATCGGAGTGGAAAAACAAATGCGAGAAAAGGCCCTGAAAAGGATTACAATTCCTATACGGAATTTTTTGAAAGGGAAACAGAAGCCCAACTTTCTTGCTAAGTGGATGAGGTTTACAGGAATGGACAACATAGAGGGTATTATCTGATTTTTGCTAGCAAAATTGATCACCGGTATGTGACAA